AGACATCGTCCTCCTGCATGGAGATCAACAACAGACGGGGGTGCTCACCTAGCCCCGTGGAGATTCTGGGCAGTCCCTTCCATCTGAGGGGAGCTGCCGCGGGACATAACCTTGTGTGGCCGGGTCCCCAACTCCAGAGCTCAGGGAGCCTGGCCAGCAGTGAGGCCTTCCTGTGGCACTCTGCTGAGGGATGCTCCCAGTCAATGTCCCCTGGGGGAATTGGGTGAAGGGAGCCCACTCAGAGCTGACCCAGTCCTTTCTGTCCTGACCACTCAGTGACATATTAAAAATGACACTTCCCTAGCCAGAGTGGCTCGGTGATTAGAGCATCAGCCCACACACCAAAGTGTTGCAGATTCAATTCCCAGCCACTGCCCATTGCTCCCCATTGCAAGTTTTGTGGGGTCCCTCGGAGCTTAGAAGATGCCTCCCTGTGGAGGGAGAGGGGGAAGGAAGTGGCGGTTGCCTCCTCCCAGCTGTTAAGCAATCTACTGCGTTTTTCAGCCGTGATCTTTGCTCAGGTGCTTGCACATTGCAAACATTTCCGTAACGTTTTCAAGCAACGACTGCTGCGTTCCCCCCTGCGTTCCTCCAAGGCAGGCAGACCAAAGATGAGCACAGGTTAGGACAGACAACTTGTGAATAAGGTCTGTCTGTTCCTCTGGAACTGGGAACCAAGGTCCCACGCTGATCATTTGGGCTGCTGTTTTCAAGGCTATTGCCAAGCTTGGGGCAAGGGCAAGTACCAATGCCAACAGCTTTGTTTTTAAGTTCCTTTATTCTTTTTTTTTTTTTTTTTCCTTTATTGATTTGAGAGAGAGAGGAATGAGAGAGAAACATCAATGAGAGAAACATCAATTGGCCGCCTCCTGCACGCCCCCCACTGGGGATTGGGCCCACAACCTGGGCATGTGCCCTGACCAGGAATTGAACCGGCGACCTCTTGGTGCCTGGGGCGACGCTCAACCAGAGCCACACCAGCAGGACAAGTTCCTTTTTTCTTAATACAGCACTCACTTGGATGGTGTTTTCCAGAGTTCTGACAAAGTTGGTTCTGACAGCTTCTGATTCTTTCGAGAGGTGGGTGTTTGGAGCTGTCCACGCCACAATATTGCTGGCATCGCTCTATATTTTTATAACTATAATTACGTGTAGAACTTTCTCAGCTTTAAAAAAGGTATCTCCCCACTGTGGTTTAGACTCACACTTCTGAAATGGCTCATAGCTAGAAAATGTTAATTCTGGTGTCTCAAAAGAAACTGTTTTGGTCAAATATATTTGGAAGAAGCATAGAAAAGCTGTGGAAAGTTGTAAGGAAACCTGATTTATGTTTCCTTTAACCAAACATTCCCAAGTTTATCTCACTTAAGAGCCTTGGTTAGTGGTGCTACATGACGGCATCTGAAGAGCATCTTGTCACTAGGGCAGGACAAACGATGGTCCCAGTCCTTCAAAGCTTTGAAAGCTGTCTGAGGTTTCCCCGTTGTTCCCACCGCGTTACGGGGCTGAATGTCCGGGAGAGGTGACGGGGCAGGTTGACTAGGATTGAGAGCGTGAGTCACAACCCCTGCTCTCCAGCTCTGAGACACCTGGAAATACGCAGGACAAGGGGCCTAGGGCGATGTGAGCCACAGGTGTTCGGGAAGGCACCTCTGAGAGATGACACGCGGAGAGACAGGGAGAGGGGAGCTTACAATCTACCTAGAGCGAACTGCTGGGTGATTACAAGCTAGACAGAGATTTGCAAAAAGTAAGCTGTGTTTAAAAATAAAACAAATGAGTTGGGGTGGAATGCTATTCTGAGTCCCTTTGAAATTATCTTTTTTTTTTTTTAGGGCATCGAATAAATTCGGTCTGTAGTTAATGTGGGAAGAGCGGGAGCTGGTGCCACCCGTGCAGGACCTGAGCGGGGGCCCACACACAGAGGAAGATTTTATTGCAGTTGTTTGCACCCTTCTTCCCCTTCCCAGCTTGCAGACCCTCCCGAGCTAGGAGAGCACCTGGCTCACCTTCGCTTCCGGTGATATCCAATAGAGAACGGAGGGAAAATGGCACACAAACACGACAATGAGCCAACCGCAAGGCAGAAATGAAGAATACAGACCTTCTTTAAACAGTCAAACCAAGCCCTACATTTAGATCACTTTACTTGAATGGCTGGAACAGTGGTTGTCATTATTTATTCTGGCTGTCCATCCGCCCGCCTGGATAAATTTTGATTATCCACCTAAGAAACAAAATGCCTAGGGACTATGAGCCTTTAATTCCACTATCATGCTGTAAATAAACTAGCCAGATAAATGTAATCATAAAACTATATTCTGCCTGGCTGGTGTGGCCCAGTTGGCTGAGCACCATCTCATACACCGAGAAGGCATTGGTTAGATTCCTGGTCAGGCAGGTACAGCCCGGGTTGCCCGCTCCATCCCCAGTAGGGGGAGCGCGGGAGGCAGCTGATGGATGTCTCTCTCTCATTAATCCTCTCCCTCCCTTCCTCTCTCTTAAATCAATAAAAGCATTTAAATAAGTAAATAAAACTCTACCCCGTCAATAAGTCAGTTCTCAACTTGATTTATAGATTCAGTGCAATCCCAGCTGAAATCCCGGTGAGTTAGCTTGTGGATCTGACCATCCATCAGTTCTAACATGTATGGAGACGTAAAAGGCAGAAACAGCTGACACAACGCTGAAGGAGAAAAACAAAGCTGGAGGACTGGCTCCCTCTGACTCCAGCATTTACTGTAAAGCTTCATTACCCCACAGTGTGGGATATAAAAAGACAGTGTGGTATTGGAGAAAGAAAAGGCAAATACATCAACAAAACAAAGTACAGAGCCCTTCAATAGGCCCACATAAATAGAGTAAGCTGACCGTTTACAAAGGAGCCAGGGTTAAAAAGTGCAGCATAGACAGTCTTTTCAGTAAGTGGTAGCGGAACTGGACATCCACGTGCGAAAATAAACATCTAGACAAAGACCTTAAATGATGCACGAGAATCAAATCAAAATGGATCACAGACCTATAAAACTACAAAACTCCTAGAAAATAACACAGGAGAAAATCTAGGTGACCTTGGGTATGGTGATGACTTTTAAGATCCAATACCAAGCCATGAAAGAAATAACTGGTAAAATTAAAAACTTCTGCTCTATGAAAGACACTGTGAGGAGAACGAGAAAGGAAGTCACAGACTGGGAGAAAATACTGGCAAAAGACACATCTGATAAAGAGCTATTACCCCCAAGTACACAAAGAATTCTTAAAGTCAGTAACAGGAAACAACACAATTTAAAAATGGGCAAGCACAGGGCTGACTGGTGGGGCATCGACTTATGCACCAGGAGGTCACTGGTTCGATTCCTGGTCAGGGCACGTGCCTGGGTTGTGGGCTCGATCCCCAGTGGTGGGCAAGCAGGAGGCAGCCATTGGATATTGATGCTTCTCTCATCCATGTTTCTCTCTCTCTCTAAAAAAAAAATCAATAAAAACTTTAAAAATAAATAAAAATGGGCAAAAGACCTAAACAGACACCTTTCCAAAGAAGATATACAGATGGCAAGACGACACACGAAAAGATGTTCAACATCATGTCATTAGGGAATTGCAAATTCTAACAATGAGATACCACTATACACCTGTTAGAATGGTCAAAATCCAAAACACTACACCAAGCCGGGAAGAAAGCAGAGCAGCAGGGACTCTCATACATTGCTGGTGGGGATGAAAAATGGCCACTTTGGAAGCAGTTTCCTATAAAACTAAACATACTCTTACCACATGACCCACAGCCGTGCTCTTTGGTATTACCCAGAGGAGTTGAAATGTATACCCACACAAAAACCTGCACATGGATATTCGCAGCTTTATTCACAATTGCCAAAACTTGGAAGCAACCAAGATGTCCTTCAGTAGGTGAATGGATAGTGTGGTACATCCAAACGATGGAATATTATTCAGCAATAAAAAGAAATGAGCTACCATCAAAAGAGAGAAAGGAAACTTACATGCATAGTAGCTGAAAGAAGCCAATTTGCAAAGGCTCCTACCGTACGATTTCCGTACCAAGAGGACGTCGATACAAAGCGGGGAAGCCTGTGCACGTGCTGGGCCAGGAGGCAGCAGGAACTCTGTATGTTCCTGTCAACTGTGCTACGAACCTAAAACTGCTCTAACGAAACACCATTTACTTAAAAAACAAAGTAGATCCTGAAGATAAAATCAAGAGTTACAGAATGGTCCCTGGATTCAAGATTTCCATTTTGCACGATGAGACTTCAGGATTTCTCTACACAATCTAGAGACCAGCCTGTGATGAGTGGTTGCGTTTTGCTGCCTGTTTCCTACACACAGGACTAGGACCACAGGGGTCTGCACCCAGCTGTGCATGGTGAGCGGTTTTCCTTATGTGTGAAGACTCAATGAGACCACCTATGTCAAACAAAGAGCTTTATAAACTGTCAAACCAAATATAAATTGCCACTGCTGAATTAATTATAAATGCCACTTAGGAATGTTTCGGATGTGTGCGAGTTGTCTGTAAGACGTGACCACACCTGCCTCTCACTGGTCAGCCCAGGCCGAGAAGGCGCCGATGCACAGGCCCGCGGCCCATGCATCCTGCACAAGCAGCTCAAAGCAGGGACAGGCAATGATTGAAAAGGCCCTAATCTCACAGCTGTCTTCTCTGGGTACAACTTGCAATGGGAAGGAAGGGAAGAAAAGCCTGCCTAGCCCCCTCCACACACCCTTCGGGACATGACACAGCCATTCAAACAGGACAAAGGGTCACAAGTCCCAAGCATCTTTGTGGTTATACAGACGACAGAAAGCACAAAGTGCCTCCCACACTGTCCGTGGAGGCTGGGGAGAAGCGTCCAGAGGAGAAACCCCTTCTCCTGCGCTTCCAAGTCTCGTGCTTCTGTTTCCAAGGCCACGAATGAAATCATTGGAATAGCAAACACCTGGGGAGTTCACTGCACATGACAACCTAAAATGAGAACAAGTGTTAAAGCAGAAATTTATTAAAATCCATTTATATAGTGTTTTACAGAAAAAAAAAAAATGTACAGAGTCCTCAACATTCAGGCAATGAACTCTCTTTTCAGAAGTGTTTTGTGAGAAGACCAAATTCTTTGCCCTCCCTCCAAAAAGACACTTCTGTTTCTACTCCTGAAAATGATGCATTTATTACACCTCGTCTCAAGAACAACGCTTTGAGACCCCAAAGCTCTGCAGAGAGTGAAGAAGACCTTCTCCAGAACGCAAAACCTCGCCGCAGAGCTGTAGTGCAAGAGATACATAAACGGCGGCCACCGCAGAGGAGTGAGCACGACCCCAAACCTCTGCAGAGAGTGAAGGAAACCTCCTCCTGAACGCAAAGCCTGGCCACAGAGCTGTGGTGCAAGAGATACATGGATGGCGGCCACCGCAGAGGAGTGTGCACACAACTGGGGACAGGTCATGAGAAGAGCTGAGGGCCCAGCGGGCAGCCTCTAGCTGCGGAGTGTGGCCAGCCGGGACTGCATGGCCTCCAGGGCCTCCTCCTCCTCCTCCTCCTCATCTTCTGAGGCGGCTGTCGCTCCACGAAGTTCAGGCTCTGGAAGGGCGTCCGTCACATTACTGGGTGCTTTGCCCAAGGCCCCTGAAAGGAAACAGAGTGAGGAGATCAGTACACTGTTGGTTTATGGACGTGGCGCATCACCTTCCCTGCCTTTCCCACCCGGGCCAGTCTGACAGAGAAGGGGCAATAAAACAAGCTGTTTTGGTGAGGTTTTTGCTCACTATGACGAATGGCAAATGCCAACTTGTAATGGTACCAAAGGCATAACAACCGTAAATATTTAATTTTAAGAATTCTGGTTCTGAATGAACAAACTGAACTACCAAGAGAAACGGAGACAGACTCACAGAGCAGGCAGACGGCGCTGATCGGGGCGGGGGCGGGGGAGGGACTGAGCGAAATTGGGAGAGAGCTCCTAGACATGGGCAACAAAGTGCAGGGACCGCAGGGGTGGGTGGAGGTGGAAGAGGGCACAGAGGGGATAAGTGGTGATGGAAAACACCCAAATTAAATTTAAATTAAAAATTTTTGTTGTGAAGCTTTTTTTTTTTATCCTCACCCGAGGATATTTTTCCATTTTTTGTACAGATAGAATGGGAGGGAGAGAGAGGAAGGGAGAGAGAGTGAGAAACATCGACGTGAAGGGACACATCGAGTGGCTGCCACCCTCACAACCAACCAGGGCCGGGGACAAACTGCAACCGAAGTACGTGCCCTTAGCGGGAACCGAACCCGGGTCTCTCCGGACCGCAGGCCGACGCTCTAACCGCTGAGCCAAACCGGCCAGGGCTGTTCTGAAGCTTTTAAAAAATATGTTTTTTTTTTTATTTTTTAGAGAGAAAGGGAGAGAGAGACAGAAGAATTGATGTGAGAAGAAACACGGATCGGCTGCCTCCTGCACGCCCCCCACTGGGGATGGAGCCCACATGCCAGGCACGTGCCCTGACTGGGAATCGAACCGAGACCTCTCGGTCCATGGGACAATGCTCAATCCACTGAACCACACCAGCAGAGCTGAAGCTCTTGATCTAAATTTCTAAACACTATTGAATACTTAATTTTCAAGATTTATGAAGATTTCAAATCTAACTAAATTGTTTCTAAATCTACATAAAGTGGTTGTCTGGAGTATAACTAGTCTTCTTTCCCCCAACAAATTAAAACAAATAAAAATTAAATCTCACCAATTATATATATATTTTTTATCCTCATCCGAGGATATTTTTCCATTTTTTGTACAGATAGAGTGGGAGGGAGAGAAAGGAAGGGAGAGAGAGAGAAACATCGATGTGAAGGGACACATCGAGTGGCTGCCACCCGCTCGACCAACCAGGGTCGGGGACAAACTGCAACCGAAGTACGTGCCCTTAGCGGGAACCGAACCCGGGTCTCTCCGGACCGCAGGCCGACGCTCTAACTGCTGAGCCAAACTGGCCAGGGCGCCAATTATATTTTTAATCAAACATAAAACTCAGAAAATCAAGAAGTAAAAATGAAGATTAAAACTTAACTTCTGGTCAAGATGGCAGAGTAGATGAATGCTGTTCTCACCTCCTCCCATGATCACATCAAAACTACAACTGAATGACAGAACCATCACTGAGAACCACCTGAAGACTAGCTGAACAGAATTCCTGGAACTAAGGCTATAAAGGAGAAGCAACGTGAAGACTGGTAGGAGGGGCAGAGATGCGAAATGGGCAGCGTTCACAACCATGGTGTGGCAATTAAGGAATGGGAGGGAACCCTGGCCGGTTTGGCTCAGCAGTAGAGCATTGGCCTGTGGACCAATGAGTCGCGGGTTCGATTCCAGCCAAGGGCACGTACCTTGGTTGTGGTTTGTCCCCAACCCTGGTCGGGGTCATGCAGAAGGCAACCAGTTGATGTGTCCCTCTCACTTCGATGTCTTTCTCTCTCTCCCTTTCTCCCTCTATCTCTCTTCCACTCTATCTGCAGATAAACAGAAAAATATACTCAAGTGAGGATTAAAAAAAAAAGAAATGGGAGGAAGCTCAGCCAGTGTGGCTCAGTGGTTGAGTGTCATCTCATGCACCAAGAGGTCACTGGTTCGATTCCCGGTCAGGGCATGCCCAGACTGTGGGTGCAATCCACAGCCAATGGATGTTTCTCTCTCATTGATGTTTCTCTCTCTCATTGATGTTTCTCTCTCTCTCTCTCCCTATTCCTTCTTCTTTCTCTAAAAACAAAAACAACATATTTTAAAAACAAAAGAAAGTGAGGGATATCTCGGCTACAGAGGTTCCCCTGGGGAACAAGAGGTCTCAGCCCAAAACCAGGCTTTCTAGCCTAGGGCACCAGTGCTGGGAAGGGGAGTCCCCTTAATATCTGGCTATGAAAATCAGCAGGACTGCTTCTGAGAAACACAGAGGGCTGCCAGAGACTGAGGTGCTGATCGTAAGGGGCCCCCCCACAGACTCACTCACTCAAATTGCTCTAACCTCCAGGGCAGGGGCAGTAGCTTGGAAAGGGTCAGGGACATATGGGTAGGAACGAAGTTGACTAACTTCAGGGAAAGGGCTGGAGGGGGAGAAAAGGGATAAATGCTCTCCAGGGGACAGACTGCTGGGAGGTATCGAATCTGGGCTCTCCTTTAAATTGGTACATCGCTCACCTTGCCTTGGGGATTCCAAACCCTGACCCACCCAAGTCCCTCGCCTGGCCCGAGCCTCTTCCAGCAGCTCTTCTACCCAAACCGCCGGCCTTGGCTTCAGCTACAGACCTTTCCCCAAGTCTGCACCCCACACATGAGTGGTGGGTGCCCTAGACTTGCACTGCCCACATTTTCAAAGGTCCAGGAATCCCCCACATGTGATGGCTGGCCTCAGCGTGCACTGCAGCTCCTATCAGGCGATTCTAAGACCAGCGCAAGTGATGACCAATCTCAACATACATTGTAACTAACTCCCATCAGGTGGCCCCAAGCCTGGTATAAGCAGCAGCCAGCTGTAGCCTGTAAAGTACTAGCTCCAGCTAAGCCACAAGCCAAGCCATTAGCTGTAGCTGGCCTGAGCTCACATTGTAGTGCCCAGCAAAGGGGCACAGCCTGGCACAAGCAGCAGCCAGCCTTAGTTGGCAGTGTAACCTCCCCCAAATACCTCCAAGCCCAGCAAAACTGGTAACCAAATGCATATCACTTTGTAATTACTACCAAGTGATCCCCAGCCCAGCACAAGTGGTGGCTGACCTTGACCTCCACCAGACCCACTCCCAAAAGGCCCCAGACCCAACAAACCTAGTGGCCAGCTTCAGATCAGACCAGAGCCCCAAACAACCAGCTCTACAACCAACACAGCCTGAGCTTGGGCTTGGCTGGCAACAGAGCCCCACTCAAGTGACTCCAGCTCTGTGGGATCAGTGCCGCTGAACACCTTGTCCCTATACTGGCAGCCAGCACTCATGGCCAGTCAGCCAGAGTCAACCCGAGCCACTGACATCCTAGCAGCATTCGGGGCCCAATTACAACAGGAGGCCACACACAACTCACACAGGGGACACTCCTGGAGCACTTGGCTAAGATGACCAAGAAGACTGAGCCCCACTGTTCACTTTCTACATACTTTCACCCTGTCAAGACTGGGAGACACAGCAGATCCACATAATATATAAAAACAAACACAGGGAGTCAGCCAAAATGAGGAGACAAAAAATGCCTCAAATGAAAGACTAGGACAGAACTCCAGAAAAATAACTAAAAGAAATGGAGACATGCAATCTACAAGATAGAGAGTACAAAACATTGGTTATAAAATGCTCAATAAGCCCTGGCTGGTTTGGCTCAGCAATTGGAGCATTGGCCCATGGACCAAAGGGTTGTGGTTTCGATTCCAGTCAAGGGCATGTACATTCAGCCCTTGTTTATCACGGTAATCAGTTCCAGACTCTACCACGATAAATGAATTTCTGTGAAGTAGGATTCTTTATTTATATACAGTTGTCCCTCGTCACTTCGTGCTTCGACTTTTGCAGCTTCACTCTATTGAGGTTTTTTTCAAATACAGTATAGTATTCAAATACAGTATAGAGTATTTGAAAAAACCGCGATAGAGTGAAGCCGCAAAAGTCAAAGTGCGAAGTGGCGAGGGACGATTGTACCTAGGTTGCAGGTTCAATCCTCCGCCCCAGTCGGGGTCAAGTGGGAGGCAACCAGTAGATATGTCTTTCTCATATCGATGTCTCTCTCTCTCTCTTTCTCTCCCTCTCCCTCCCATTCTTAAAAAAAAAAAATCAATAGAAAAATATCCTCAGGTGAGGATAACCCCCCCCTCCAAATGCTCGGTGAACTTGGGAGAAAAATAAATGAACTCATGTAGAACTTTAACAAAGAAATATAAAACATAAAAAAGGACATAGACAGAAAACATTAAAAAAACAGAAGTGAAAAATACAATAACTGAAATTAATATTCTAGTGGGAATCTACATCAGATTACATGAAGCAGAGGATCAAATCAGTGATCTGGAAGACAAAGCAGTGGAAAACACCCAGTCAGCAAAAGCAAAAATAAATAAATAAATAAAAATGAGGACAGTTTAAGAGAATTCCAGCACATCAAGCATACCAACATTCACATTACAGGTGTACCAGAAGAAGAACAGAGATAAAGAAACTGAAAACCTATTTGAGGAAATAATGAAGAAAAACTTCACTGGCAAAGAAAATAGACATACAAGTCCAGAAAGTGCAGAATACCAAACAAGATGAACCCAAAGAGGTTCAAACCAAGACACATCATAATCAATATGCAAAGTTAAAGACAAAATCTAAAAATAGCAAGAGAAAAGCAGTTAGTTATGTACAAGGGAGCTCCCATAAGACTATCAGTTGATTTTCAACAGAAACACTGCAGACCAGAAGGAAGTGGCGAGAAATATTCAAGGTGATGAAAGGCACAAACATACAAGTATGATTATCCAGCAAGGCTATTATTTAGAATCAAAGGAATATAGTTTCCCAGACAAGAAAACAGTAAAGGAGTTAATCACCACTAAACCAGTATTACAAGAAATGTTAGAGAGACTTCTTTAAGTAAAAAAGACAAAATATGGGGGGGAGAATCTCACTGACAAAGGCAAACATTAAAAGAAACCAATTATAGCCCTGGCCAGTTTGGCTCAGCGGTTAGAGCGTCGGCCTGCGGTCCGGAGAGACCTGGGTTCGGTTCCCGCTAAGGGCACGTACTTCGGTTGCAGTTTGTCCCCGGCCCTGGTTGGTCGTGCGGGTGGCGGCCACTCGATGTGTCCCTTCACGTCGATGTTTCTCTCTCTCTCTCCCTTCCTCTCTCTCCCTCCCACTCTATCTGTACAAAAAATGGAAAAATATCCTTGGGTGAGGATAAGAAAAAAAAAAAAAAAGAAACCAATTATAAAGCCAGTACAAAGGTTGAAAGACTACAGTAGGAATATCATGTGTAATTACAATAAACTAAGGGTTACACACACACATACACAAGAGACAAGTAAAAAATTATGACAAGCCCTGGCTGGTTTGGCTCAGCGGTTAGAGCATCGGCCTGTGGTCCAGAGAGACCCGGGTTCAGTTCCTGCTAAGGGCATGTACCTTGGTTGCAGTTTGTCCCTAGCCCTGGTTTGTCATGCGGGTGGCAGCCACTCAATGTGTCCCTTTCACGTCGATGTTTTTCTCTCTCTCTCTGTTCCTCTCTCTCTCCCTCCAACTCTATCTGAACAAAAAATGAAAGGATGTCCTCGGGTGAGGATAAAAAAAAAAAATTATGACAAGCCCTGGCCAGTTGGGCTCAGTGGTTAGAGCATTGGCCTGTGGTCTGGAGAGACCCAGGTTTGGTTCCTGCTAGGGGCACGTACTTCGGTTGCAGTTTGTCCCCAGCCCTGGTTGGGTCGTGTGGGTGGCAACCACTCGATCACTCGAAGTGTCCCTTTCACGTAGATGTTTCTCTCTCTCTCTCTCTCTCTCTCTCTCTCTTTCTCCCTCCCTCCCTCCCACTCTATCTGGACAAAATATCAAAAAATGTATTGGGTGAAGACTAAAACTCTTTCTCCCTCCCTCCCTCCCACTCTATCTGAACAAAATATCAAAAAATGTCCTTGGGTGAGGACTAAAATAAAATTATGACAAAAAAAAATAAGCATGGATGGGGGTGAGAAAAACAACAGTGATTTTAGAATGTGTTCAAACTTAGGCAACCATCAACTTAAAATAGATTGCTATATCGATAGCTTGGTATTTATGAAGCACATGGTAACCACAAAACAAAGATCTATAGGAGATATACAAGAAATAAAAAGAAGGAATCCAAATATAACACTACAGAAAGTCATCAAAACATGAGAGAATAGAGCAAGAGGATAAGAAAGGAACAGAGAACTATAAACACAATCAGGAAACAATAACATGGCAATAACTACATACTACCAATAATTATTTAAATATAAATGAACAAAATGCTTCAATCAAAAGACAAAGGGCAGAAGAATGGATAAAGAACAAGACCTATACACATGCTGCCTACTAGAGACCCACTTCAGACAGAAAGACACACACAGACTGAAAATAAATAAATGGTAAAAGATATTTTATGCAAATGAAAACTAAAAAAAAAGCTGGGGTAGCAATACTTATATCGAACAAAATAAGACTTTAGAACAAAGGCTATAATAAAAGACAAAGAAGGTCATTTCACATATGACAGCCAAGATGTGAAAGCAACCTAAGTGTCCATCGATAAATGACTGAATAAAGAAGTGGTACATATACACAATTGAAAATTATGCCCAGCTGGTGTGGCTCCATGGTTGAGCATCGACCTATGCACCAAGAGGTTGCTGGTTTGAATCCCGGTCAGGGCACATGCCCAGGTTGTGGGCCTGATCCCCAGTGGGGGGCATGCAGGAGGCAGTCAAACAATGTTCTCTCTCATCGCCGTTTCTCTCTCTCTCTCTCTTACCCTTCCTCTATCTCTAAAATCAGTAAAGAAAAAAAAAATTTAAGAAGAAGAAAATTACTTGGCCATGCCCTGGCCAGTTTGACTCAGCGGTTAGAGCGTTGGCCTGAGGAACAATGAGTTGTGGGTTTGATTCCAGTCAAGGGCACGTACCTAGGTTGCAGTTTGTCCCCGGCTTGGTTGGGGTCGTGCAGAAGGCAGCCACTTGATGTGTTCCTTTCACGTTAATGTTTCTCTCTCTCTCTCTTTTCCTCTCTCTCCTTCCCACTCTATCTGAACTAAAATGGAAAAATGTCCTTGGGTGAGCAAAATAAAAAAGAAAATTAGTTGGCCATAAAAAATGCAATCTTACCATTTGCAACAACATGGATGGACCTGGAGAGTTTTATGCTAAGTGAAATGTCATACAGAAAAAGACAAATACCACATGACTTTACTTATATGTGGAATGTAAAAAACAAAGTAAATGAACAAACAAAACAGAAACAAACTCACAGATACAGATGAGAAGAGGGTTGGGTAGAGGGTGAAAAAGGTAAAAGTCATTATGAAGTACACTTTACCAGTTATAAAAATAGTCACAGGGATGTAAAGTACAGCATAGGGAGTATAGTCAATAATGTATATGTGCCCTGGCTGGGTAGCTAAGTTGCTTAGAGCATCGTCCCAAGTTGCCAAGGCTGCAGGTGCAATCCCTGGTCAGGGCACATACAAGAATCAATCAATGAGTACATAAATAGGTGGAACAACAAATTGATGTTTCCCTCTCTCTCCTTTCCTCTCTCTCTAAAAAAAAGTATCAATTAAAAAAATATATATGTAGAGTGTCAGATGGGTACTAGACTTATCAGGGTAATAAAGACATGTAATTGTCTAATCTATGTTGTATAACTAAAACTGATATAATAATGTATGTCAACTGCAATTAACAAATACATTTTAAAAATAACAAAAAAACAAACCTCTGTGACTATCACTCAGAGATAACTACTATTTTTCTATAGATGTGATTTTTACATAAAAGTGTGTATTTTCATAACAAGGCTTTTTTCACATACTATATTATGAACATAATTCCATGTTAGTAATATATTTCTACATTATTTATCACAACTATAATGTATTCCATTAAAACATATATAACATAATTGATTTAACCAACATTCTGTTATCAGGCACTTAGCTTTAGAACTTTTCAGTATTATAAATAAGAGTACAAGAGAGATCCTTGCATTAAAATCACTCAGCCATCCTTAATTACTAGAGTAAACGCCCAGAAGTCAATCTTCTAGGTCAAGGGCTTTTGATAGCTACTGCCAAATTACTTTCCAGAAATTCTATACCAAATCAAACTCCCAAATGCAGTTTGTGACACCAACATTTCACCATTCAACTCTGGAAATTCTAAGAATTAAAAATTATCGTTTTATTTTTAAAAAGATGTTTATAGATATTGTGCTTATTTTTCAAGAAATAACGTGCATAATCTAAAATTTAAGATGTAGATGTAAGGGAGTTACAGCCTAAAGACAAAGCTACCAGTTAATGTGGTGAATGCACGAAGAAAGGCCATAGGAGGGGAGAAAAAGGCTGAATGTCAGGGTCATACCTGCTGTGATTTCAAACAGAATTTTGTCAATTTCCATTTCTGCTGCTTCTTCCATTTCTTCTTGGTCATCCATGCTTTCAAAAGTGTCCTCTAACATCTCTTCTATGATCCCGGCCTAAACACAGAATAAACCATGTCACTCCCAACTGGTAAATCTGTTCTCAAAGAGACACCTTTAAGGACAGCGCTCAGTGAACTCTAGTCTCCTAGGTGAGTCCACCTTTTTGAGGGCTAACGCACAGGGCTGTTGGTCACAGGAAACCCTGGATGCTGCCCTCTCTGCAGAAAGGCAAAAGGCCAAAAGGAAACTGCTCTTCAAATTTAGCACCAAGCTTGGAAGTGGGCCTTTGATTGCTCACAAAGTAACCCACCGGAACGGCAGTGCTTGGGAACAAGCTGCTGACAGATGAGTGCAAGTCCTGACTGGTCTTGGCAAGCATTTGCCCTAACACTGCAAATATCATCTGTGTGAGTGCAGGAGTTGAAACACAGTATGAAAATTGGTTGGAGGCATAGCAGACACTATGATAAATACCAAGAGCATGGTGGGGTTCATGGGACCCTAAAAAGGCCTGAGAGTACTTCAACACGTCCAGGGTACAGCTGGTGGCACAGGGTCAATCTGGTGGGTCTGCCAAGGATCAGTCAATTCACCAGAGCCAGATCATCCTCTCCTCCGAGAACTGGTAAGACGGCACTTCTGAACGCAACAGGGTAATGCCCAGACTCTACTGGAGCCCTGGGCCTGGCAGCCTGAAGCGGCAGGCCAAATGAAATGACTGAGTTCACATCCCTGCCCTTGAGGAGCTGGACCCTCACCGGAGGCTTCAGTTTGCACCTGGGGATGCATCACTGGATGGATTCCAAAAATATAATCAACTGCATGCAAGCCTTCCTTCAAATCTGTATTACTTTCATATCCAGAAACCGCGTGGGAAAGATCCCCTCAGATCCTGGTGGCTACATGAGCTGGCATGAGCAGGCATGAAGTCATTCCAACTCGGGGGAGGAGACACCCACAAACCATGCTCTCCTGCCTAGTTCCCTCCTACCACTGCTACCCAAGTTCTCATTCCAAAGACCTGGACCCTGGGATTTTTATGTTGCTTTTCTTTTCCACCAATTTCCTTCTCTAGTTTCTCTCTCCTATGGCCTAGAGCCCCATGTATAATTCAAGTTCATGAATGAAATTTCCCAGGAGGAAGAAAAACACAATTTCTCGCTTTACAAATTCCACACAAGAATCTGAGGCACGCAACCTTGCTTCGCAGGCCACGTGTTTGCGGCACGACTCAGCACCTGCAAAGGTGCTTCTCTAACCATTTTCTCTGTGGCAGCTCCAGCAACAGGTCAGACATCTGTGCCCCAACCCCGGGTCTGTCCCTCACCACCACCGTTACTTATAAGTTACCTGGCAACTTCAAGACTCAGTTTCCTCCTCTGTAAAATGGGGATAAAAATACCTGCCTCACAGGGTTGCTGGGTGGGCTGGGTAGGACAGAATGTGTGATGCACCAGGGGCTGGCAGAGGGCTCAGCAACAATACCCTCCTGAGCCCTGACCAGCAGTATAGGTTCTTGCCCCAGTCCTGGGGATGGCAGGTATTTGTTGCTTTCTGTTTGGTTTTCAGTCTCCTTTTCTAGTCTAAACCAGGTATCAGCAAACTACAGTCCACAGGATCAAATCAGCCCGCTCCCCACTTTTGTAAATAAAGTTTTATTGGAACACAGTAACTGTCATTTGTTTACATATTACCTACGGCTGCTTTTACACTACAAAGCAGTGTTGTAATAACAAAGATGTATGGCCCATGAAGTGACCATTACATTTAGTATCTAGCCCTTCACAGAAAGTTTGCCCGAAGTGTGCTGGTGAGGGAGGTAGAAGGCCTCCCATGCCAGCTGCACTAACATGCCCCCGAGCAGACAGGAACCGGGGCTGCTTCTGTCCCCTTACTGTGTCAGACCCTGTACCCTAGCTCCCTGAATCCTGAACACCTGCTCCCTGGATGCTAGTGCTCTAGGTACACTGTCACTTATTCTAAGGGGCACCCTGGCAATCTGACCCAGCCTCTGCCATGCTCAGCTCGGACAGTTTCAATCAAAGTTAACGGCTGCCCTGCTGTCCTCAGTGTCTGGCAACAGTGGTCCGTCCATTCCTGCCCAACCCAGCCCTGACCCGGCCACTTGCTGAGAGTGACACCCAGTGGTTTAGAATGGATGCAGGGTTAGCCCCAGGTCACCTTCATCATCTCTTTGGACAGCTCCCGCATGGTGGCCTGGATTTCGGGGATCTTCACAAGAGTCTGCATGGCCTTCATCACTTCTGTGCTCTTCTGCAGGGAACCAGCCACTCGCAAAACCGCTGAAAGAGAAAGGACCGCTCCATAGAATGTGATACAGATGGAAAAAAAGAGTCAAATTATGAGCCACTCTAATAAAAGGGAACAGTAGTACGTGGATTTCCAAAGCTATAAATGTATCTGCAGAAAATATTACTGCATTAGTTGAACAAGAAACTGACTTATCTAAACTGTGCACTCCTTTTGCTAACACTGGTACAAGTTTTCTGAGCATGCACAACAACTGGCCAATCTGGAGAGTGACCCAAAGGCCTGCGGCCGACCTCGAAGGAAGGAAGCCGGCCGGCAATGAGCATGGCATCCAGGTTAAGTCACACATGGGAGGAACAGCTCCAGACCTTGCAAGGGCCACGGTGGAAAACAAAGCTTTAGGCTACCCAAGTAGTGCTCTGTACAAACCAGCCTATGGACCACGGCTGCTCTGTGAGGACCTGCTGCTGGTTCTCAGGAAAATGAGAGAAATCAGGATAAGTAAGATACACTGAGTATGTGTGTGTCAATATAAGATGGTTACAGTTCCTTTCTAGGGTAAAATTGTAATACGAGATAATATGTGTATATCTATCATATGTGTATATCTACCAATTCTTTGTTACCCATTCACCTATTATAGATACCTAAGTTGCTTCCATATCTTGTCTATTATAAATAATATAGAGGTGTATAGATCTTTTTGAATTAGTGTTGTTTTCTTTGGATAAATACCTAGAAGTGGAATTCCTGGGTCATACAGCAGTTCTATTTCTAATTTTTTGAGGAATCTCCACACTGTTAACCATAGTGGCTGCACAAATTTACACAAGGGTTTGCTTTTCTCCACGTCCTCGTCAGCACTTGTTATTTGTTGATATTTAAAAAAGAATTTTTTTTAGAGAGAGAGGAAGGAAGAGAAACAGATGCTAGAGTGGAACATTGATCGGCTCCCTCCTACAGGCCCCCTCCAGGGATCAAGACCTAAAGCCAGGCATGTACCCTAACCAGGAATCAAACCAGCAACCTTCTGGTGCATAGGACAAAGCCCAGCCAACTGAACCACATGGGCCAGGGCATTATTTGTTGCTTGTTTGATAACCATTCTGACAGGTGTGAGGTGATAGGTCATTAATCTGTGTTTTCCTGACGATTAGTTATGTTGAGCATCTTTTCCTATGTCTGTTGGCCATCTGTATTGTACTCTTTGGAGAAACGTCTCCTCAGGTCACCTGCCCATTTTTTAATTGGACTTTTCTTTTTGGTGTTAAGTTGTGTAAGTTCCTTATGGATAGTAAGGGATATTAACCCCTTACTGGATGTATCATTTGTGAACATTTTCTCCCATTCAGTTGGCTGTCTTTTTATTTTGTTGGTGGTTTCCTTTGTTGTGCAAAACCTTTTTGGTTTGAGCTAGTCCCATTAGTTTATTTTTTCCATTATTGTTGCCCTTGCCCAACGAGACAAAAAATATTGCTAAGACAGATGTCAGAGATTTTTTTTTTATCCTCAGCTGAGGATATTTTTTTCCCATTTATCTTCAGATATAGTGTGAAGGGGAGAAAGACTGAGAAACATCGATGTGAGAGAGACACATCGACAGGCTACTTCCCGCATGACCCGAACCAGGGCTGGGGATGAACTGCAACCAAGGTACATGCCTTTGACTGGAATCGAACCCGAGATGCATTGGCCTGCAGGCCGACGCTCCAACCACTGAGCAAAACCGGCCAGGGCTGTTATCAGAGATTTTACTTCCGACGTTTTCTTCTAGGAGTTTTATGGATTCAGGTCTCACATTAGTCTTTAATCCCTTTGGAGTTTAATCTTTGTATGGTGTAAGAAAATGGTCCAATTTCATATTTTACATGTATCTGTCCAATACCACTCATAGAACAGTCTTTACCCCACTGGATATCTTTGCCTCCTTTGTCATAGATTAATTGACTGTATGTCATGATTTCGTTATGAGCTTGCTATTCTATTCCACTCATCTATATATCTGTTGGGGTTTTCTTTTTTAATCCTCACCAAGGATATTTTTCCATTTATTTTCAGACAGAGTGGGAGGGAGAGACAGATAGGAGAGAGAGAGAGAAACATCGATGTGAGAGAGACACATCGATTGGTTGCCTCCTGCAGGACCCCTATCAGGGCCGGGAACTGAACCGCAACTGAGGTATGTGCCCTTGACCAGAATCGAGCCCACACCTCTTTGGTCCACAGGCCTACGCTCTAACTGCTGAGCCAAACCGGCCAGGGTTATATATCTGTTTTTTATGCCAGTACCATACTGTTTTGGTTGTTTTAGTTTTAGTATAATTTGAAATTATGGAATGTAATATATCCTACTTTGTTCTTTTTCAAAATTTCGTTGGCTCTTTGAGGTCTTTTGTGGGTCCATATACATTTTAAGATTAGTTGTGCTAGTTGAGAAGAATGTCACTGATATTTTGATAAGGACTGCATTGAATCTGTATATTACTTTAGGTAGCAAGGACATTTTTAACAATATTAAATCTTCCAATCCATGAGAATGGTATATCCTTCCGTTTGTTTGTTTCCTCTTCAATTTCTTTCTTCAATGTCTTACAGTTTCCAGAGTACAGGTCCTTTACCTCTTTGGTTAAAATTATTCCTAGGTTTTTTGTTTTTACTGCAATTGTGAAAGGGATTATTTTCTTAATATCTCCTTCTGGTCATTTGTTATTGGTATATAAAGACCTGCACCCTTGGTGTATCGGGATGACACTCTAACCAACTGAGCTAGCTGGCTAGAGCCCCTAATCATTTTGTGTGTGTGTGTGTGTGGAACGTTTAGTGTTTTCTACATATAGTATCAGGTAATTTGCAAATAGTGAGTTTTACTTCTTCCTTTCTGATCTGGATGTCTTTTACTTCCTTTTCTTGTCTGGCTGCTGTGGCTAGGAATTCCAGTACTATGTTGAATAGTTGACAGTGGGCATCGTTGTCTTGTTCCTGTTCCTGATCTTAAGAGGAAAAGCTTTCAGCTTTCACCACTGAGTGTGATATTAACTGTGGGTTTGTCACATAAGGGCCTTTATTATGTTGAGGTATGTTCCTTCTGTATCAACTTTATTGAGAATTTGTATCATAAAAAATGTTAAATTTTATCAAGTGCTTTTCTCCATCTACAGAGATGATCATATGATTTTTACCCTTCATCCTGCTGACTTCATGTAATCACATTAATTGATTTATGGATGTTCAACACTCCTTGCATCCTGGGGTAAATTCCACTTATCCTGGTATATAATCCTTTTAATGTATTAGTGAATCCAGTTTGCTAATATTTTGTTGAGAATTTTTGCATCTATATTCGTCAAGCAAACTGGCCTGTAATTTAGGGTTAGGGTACCTATTAATATTTGCTTTACATATTTAATTGCTTCTATGTTGGTTGGATGTGTAGATATTTACAATTTGTATCATTTTCTTGGATTGACCCTTTATAGTTATGTAATGTCCTTCTTTGTCTTTTTTTACATTCTTGATTTTAAAGTCTATTTTGTCTAATATGAGTATTGCTGTGCCAACTTTCCTATTGTTAATAGTTGCATGAAATATCTTTTTCCACCCCTTCACTTTCAGTCTGTTGGTCTTGCAATTTTTAAAAATTTAAATTATTTTTCATTCTTCAATTATAGTTGGCATACATTATATTAGTTCCAAGTGTACACCCATTATTAGACATTATATAACTTATTAAATGATCATCCTGATAAACCTAGTACTCATCTGACACCATACATATTTATTAGAATATTTTTTACTATATTCCCTATGCTGTACTTTACATTCCCATGACTATTCTTATTAATACCTTCACATTTTCACACCTCCTCCAAACCCCTCTCATCTGGCAACTGTAAAAATGTTCTCTGACCCTGGCCGGTTTGCCTCAGCGGGTTGGAGCATAAGCCTGCAGTCCAGAAAGACCTGGGTTCAGTTCCTGCTAAGGGCACGTACATCGGTTGCAGTTTGTCCCCGGCTCTGGTTGGGTCGTGCGGGTGGCAGCCACTCAATGTGTCCCTTTCACGTTGATGTTTCTATCTCTCTCTCCCTCCCACTCTGTCTGAACAAAAAACAGAAAAGTGTCCTCGGGTGAGGATTGAAAAAAAAGAAACGTTCTCTGTATCTATGTGTTTCTCTTCTGCTTCTTCACTTATATTTTTAGATTCGTTTATTGATAGATATGCATTTATTGCTATTTTATTGTTCACATATTTTGTCTTTTTTTCCCTTTCTTCTTCTTAAAGAAGACCCTTCAACATTTCATGTAATACTAGTTTAGTGGTGATGAATTCCTTTAGCTTTCCTTTGTCTGGGAAGCTCTTTTTTGATATGTCCTTCAATTCTAAGTGATAGCTTTGCTGGGTAGAGTAATCTTGGTTGTAGGTCCTTGCTTCTCATCACTTTGAATATTTCTTGCCAATCCTTTCTGGCCTGCAAAGTTTCTTTTGAGAAATCAGCTGACAGCCTTATGGGAACTCCGGTGTAGGTAACTAACTGCTTTTCTCTTGCTGCTTGTAAGATTCTCTCTTTGTCTTGAACCTTTTGCATTTTGATGATGATGTGTCTTGGTGTGGGGGCCTCTTGGGGTTCATCTTGTTTGGGACTCTGTGTGCTTCCTGGACTTGTATGTCTGTTTCCTTCACCAAGTTAGGGAAGTTTTCTGCCATTATTGTTTCAAACAGGTTTTCAATTTCTTGTTCTCTCTCTTCTCCTTCTGGCACCCCCAAGATGCCAATGTTGGCACACTTGAAGTGTCCCAGAGGCTCCTTACACTATCCTCATTTTTGTGGATTCTTTTTTTCTTTTTGCTTTTCTGATTGGATGTTTTTTGCTTCCTTATATTCCAAATGGATGGTTTGCTTCTTGGCTTTACCTACTCTACTATTGAATCTGTGTAAGTTATTCTTTATTTCCGTTAGTGCCTCCTTCATTTCTGACTGGTCCTTTTTTATGCTCTTGACGCCCTCACTAAGTTCACCAAGGTTCTCACTAAGTT